TACAAAGATTGTAATTCCATTTAAATGTAAATTTTTAACCATCTAAAACCGATATTCATAGTCAGTTCTTATATTTAAGACTATCTTAAGTATAGTCTTAATGTCATATAATCACAAATCCATTCTTAAAACAATACTTAAGACTCTTGTAATAAGAATGGATTACGAATACTGGTTTTTCAAATACTAAAACTTATCACAGAGCGAAATCAACAAAGTGCTGTCTGACTTTAAGTACAAGCCACATTAAAACGATTGAGAATATCTCCCTCGTGTCTTAACACATTAACCTATATATCCTTTCCCATCTTTGTTTTTCCAGCAGCTATTCACCTACGTTGGAATCTAGCTCTAATGTTTTATTTATCGCATGGAAGTGTGTTACCATCGACGCATATCTAAGTATACTTTAAAGTTCAACGTACGAACAACGATGTTGCGTAAATAGCCTATCGTGATTCACAAAAGCGACAAATTCTGTAGAGAATTCGAGGTGACTTCGTTTCTCCACACTCGTTTCAGTATAAAAAGTAACAAATGGAACAACTTTGACAACTTGATTTGTTTCTGCGTAATTTACTGCAATAAATCTAGAAATCTAGCTTCTACTAAAGCAGGATTGCTGTTGCATATTTATAAAGACAGGAATAAATATAAATATCAAAGAAATGCCTGAAAATTATTACATAAAGATTACAAGATTTACGGGATAATTTTTATCGCATAATTAATCCTAACTAAAGTCAATTTCATTTAAATGTCATGTATGACATGACATTTAAATGAAACTGAAGATGAACCGTGGAATAATTTCACGAAACAGACGCGACTACTAAAATGAGACCACGTGGGAACGGACGTTATTGTCACGCCAGCTGCTTTTCAGTGGCCTGTCTGGCACTCATACAAACACGTGCCTGTATTCCAGCCACCGCCATTTTCACCTGGCGAGCACCTGTTACGTCGGTTTTCCCCGTTTTCCTGTTGGAGGCAGGTTTGAAAGTCTATGCGCAGGGATGGTGCTCGACTAAGGTAGAATGACGAGAAATCTGAAGGCAGTTCTTGCCGATGAGAAAACCACTAAAAAAAAAAAAGATGACCGACAAGACGAGGAACAAGTGGCGAACGTGTCAAGGTGAAGGAGCGTCGTCTCCGGCATTAACACCAGCCGGTGAAAGCTGATTAAATGTCTTCTTGATCTATGAGTAACTGTACATGGATTCGAAAATTGGAGTTGACCGAACAAAACTAAAGGTAGCACAGTCACTCAACGGATATTAATCCTTCAGATTATACGCATATCTGCACTGAAAAAAATGTACTAAGTTTTGATAAACATTTGTTCGAATAGTACTAACTAAATACATATATTTATTTGATACAAAAACCAATTTAATATTATTTTTTATTTACTAGATATAAATGTTTAGTTAGTACTATTGAAACAAATATTTATTAAAATTTGATGCATTTTTTTAGTGGCCGATTCACACGCATATCTTCTAACAATATGATTCTGGAAAAATTGCCGGAGTTTAACATACATCAAATAATCTTAATGTCTAATCACAAATTTAATATATAAAGAACAACTTTACTGAAGTAAAAATTTAGGTAGACACAAATCTGAAATTAATTTTGTTGGATCATAAAAATAGTTAGAAAACTCAAATATGATAAGCAAAGCTGCAAGAAGTTTTGACGTTCTAGTAACCAGTTTAAAAAAAAAAGCATCCTACATAATTATTATTTTAGTCCTACAAAAAGATTTTCAATTATGTACCTAACTAATTTTTAGGTACTTCAGCAAAATCGTTCTTTCCATGTATATAGATATAAAATAAAATTTAATATAAAATAAAATGTAGAAAAAATAAATCCAGTAATTTGTTCCTCGAATTTACAGAATGAAAACTAATCTGGAATTTATCTTTCTCCAAATATTTAGAGGTCTAAAAAAAATAAAACATTAGTTTTTAAAAATAAATTTTCGCGGAAATATTGGCGATTCGTTAATCGGTAATTTCTGTCAGAAATAGGGAAAGTTTGCAAACTTCTATGACGTCTTTGAAGAACAAGGATAATCAGACAAACCGCGCTTCTGCATCGTGATCAGAAAAAGAACCGCAAAGACATTGAACACGTGTCTCGCACTTGAAAGACGATGACATCAACATTTGTCACCGACGAAGTAAGATCTAAGAAACCAAGAGAGCTCTTTCATTGCCTGCACAAACGGCGGGACAAAAACCAATCCTATCGACCGTGCATGATGTTATACTGAATGAACGAAAAATCTTCATCGAAAAAAGATACATAAATTAGAGAGAAACTGGGAATAAATTAAAAAAGTATGACAAAGGTAAGAAATAAAAGAAGAATAATGAATCGAGAATTTAAGAAAGGTGTTGAATTAAACGTGCGGATTAAGCATTGACAGTCCTGGGAGACATTAACGATCCTGACGAAATGCAATGTGACGATGTACGTAATTAGAAAATAAGTTAAGGGAATATAATCCTAGAAAGTCTCTCGACTGCCACGTCTAAGAACAGGTTTCGTGTGAATCGGCGTACTTCACGAACAGTCGCTATTTAGGACCTCTGCGTACAACATCGACCTCGGGATACCTGACTGCTTGCAATTCCTTAGGAAGTCGGCAATTACTTGCTACTTCGTGCATTAATTCCATACACTTTACGTGCGCGTAAGCGTAAATCTGATGCACAGTCGACTGCGAAGACACGCAAATTATACGTGAGATTGATAATCTAATATATATAAATTGACTACAAAAGGATCAATTAATTCTCGATCAGGAATACTTCCTAGTGACAAATCAAAACGATAGGAATCCTAAAATGCGTCACGAACGTATTTTTGCGGTAATTATTATTTGCGAACTATACTTTCTTTCTTACTTCGCAGAACTTTCAACAAGATACACGCTAATTTCTTCCTGTGTACTTTTTTCACAGTTGAACAATTTCTTCAAATTATCGATAATTATCAATGCGATTATAAGTCGGTAAGGAAATAAAAGATGTAAAAAATTACTAGCTTACACGCAATGTAGTCCAAGCGAATAATTATTCGTTTACTCGTTACGTTTTAACTCTCTCTATTCCAACTACATCTACGTTTTTAACCCTCCGAAGGTGATCAAAATCTGTACACAACTACACGAAGGGAATTTTTTCTTAGAGTTTACCCTGAAAGTACAACATTGTACTTCGAAGAATTTTAATGTAAATCTCTCTCATTCATTAATAAAACTACAATAAAGTATAAAATAAGTTTGATTAATTTTACTGAAGTGTATGGTAAAAATCTTTAAAATATTGTATTGTACCACAACTACCATATTTTCAGGGTAAATTTTAAAAAGATTCTCTCCATGTACTAACGGTGGATCTGTAGGACTCATTTAATTTATGTTAATGAAAAAGCACTAATTAATTTTTCAAGGAATCTAAATGACTCAGAATAAAAAAAAGATTCTTATTATTTATTTATTCTTGAGTCTTGTGACATCTTTTATTCACTACATTATAAGCTACATCATATACATGGTATGTGAAATTCATTTCACTGACAATGAGACTCGATTTTTCATATAATTTCTTTGCAGATGTAACAAAAAAATTGAATTGTTTGACATTTTTGATGGATTGTTTGACATTTTTGACAAAGAGATTTAATTGAGTGAGTCCAACAGACCTACCATCACTCTGAAGAGGGTTGCGATACAATTATATACCTCGAAATACTTCCATAATGCAGGACTACAATTTTACAAAGCAGACGTTATTCTATGACGATCAGGTGTCGCTTGATAACTTTGAGCATTTCCACTTTCTTTCATTCCTGACAATGTACGCGTCGATACGCGCTGGTGAATCTCACGTGTCACGCAACGATGATGGAACAGCCGTTACCACGGGGTTCAGTTTTCACTGCCATCAACACCGAAAATTGATCACGATGGAATTTCACGTACAGCGAACACCTTCGAACCGCCAACGAAGCTAGCACGGAACCTCTCGACCGGTTTTAATCCTCGTCCTGAGTTTGAAATCGCTTCAAAAATTATTCGCGTAACGCCGAAGACCAATGATGATCCTTGTTATGTAAATTATCGTTCGCGTTTGAGTAAACGCAAAACGTGATTCATGAAAATTAAAGGTAATATATAATTTTGAGAATGCCGTTCGTTTAACTTTGTCGTAAATTAAATTACAGTAACATAAACTTTCATATTGATACTGTTAATACTAAGTTTAACCGTAAAATTTATCGCACGTTATTAACTTCGATACAAAGTCTACATTCAGATAAAAAGATATGAAATCTGTTCTTTTTTTTCGAAGAATGTTCTGAACTAAGCACTCTAAAAAATATCGGTATATAAATATATAATTCTCATCGTGTTCGTGTTAATATTAACACCAACGTAACGTGGATTTATAAATCTCTACTGTTTATATGAATATCATGGATTTAAAACCCATGATGTTAAATTCACATCAAGTGATATTAGTATTAACTCCAACAGTGAGAACTGTATAAATTCCGCATGATGATAAATTCATACCGATATTTAAAGTGCGTATCTGGTGCAATAAGTTGGAGTAAAACAAATTATTATTGTTTTACTTCAACTTATTGCATCAGTTCAGAATACTCTTTGAAAGGGAACAGACTTGCAGTGACGGCAACAATAAAAGTGACAATTATACAAGTTTTATAGCAACAATAAAATAGTTTATTCAGCTATGTATGTGTGTGTACATTAACGCTGCTCATAAAACTTGCATAACTGACATCTTTATAATTACTTATACCACAAAGTTATTTTTCTGCAGATTGCAGAAATACCTCGTTCTTTGGAATTTCCAGTTAGGTGTCAGATAAATTACGAGACAGGAAGATTAAATCCGGCTGCAGGGCATCGAGTAAGCAGGAAGCGTTACGGGACGAATACGTAAGTATTATCCTACCTTCTTGTAGAGCTTGATCCAGGTAAGATCGCCCTTAGTGTCGGTGTACTGAAGACCGAAGAACCACACCTCGCGCAACCCAATCGTCTTGACGACCTGGTCGAACAGCTGCTTCCCGGTGGTCGTCTGCTGGATCGCGAATTCCAGCTCCGCGTCCATCGTCGTCACCCTCACGTTCATCTTCGCGGCACAGCACATGCAAACAAAACGACACCGTCAGGTAGTGCGAATAAAACGCGTCACCCGGTAGAACGAAATCCAACCATCGTTGTTACGCGGTTTCTGGCATCTCTCGAGAAAAAACGAATTCGTTCTACATTATCTTCTATATTAATTTGTTTCTTTACGATTTTTCTTTAAAAATGTTGCTTAAAAATTATCATGTAACTGTATTGTACATAAAAGACTTTCTCATTAAATCTTCTCCTTGAACTTCCTAATAGAGGAAGAGCTGACTTCAAATCTCCCAATAATCGAAGAATTATTGCCCATTTCTATCAATATAGATTAATTTTAATCTTGGTTCAACTTGCTCATCTTTTTTTTTCAATTCTTACAATTAGAAATGCTCGATTCTACACTGAAAACAAAGATTGGCTG